TTCGACTCCGGGCACATGCCCGAGTTCCATATTTTTTTACGGACCCTCCGGGACCGTCGAATCACGGGTCCGGGTCCGTTTACCAAAAATATTGACCGAAGTCAACTTTAAATCATTTAAAGCCACATTTTGAAATTTTTCACAGAATTTAACATATAGTCTTTCCGGCTACGCGCCGGGACTGCGCACGCAAATCGAGGCAACTAAAGGTGAGGTTATCAAGGCCTCGGAAGCGCGGAATGAATGAGGAAACAGGTGATGACCCTTTGGGGTCGTCACAATTGTTATTTCCGCATTGATAGGCTTACCTAGTTGTAGGAACTAGGTGCTATCACTACATGTTCATGGAGGGTGAACTGGGGTCGTGACAATATGACTAGAACCTTTAGGATATGAATTGGAATTTTAGTTTATGAATTAAAATTTTAGATTATAAATTAAAATTTTAGGATATGACTTGAAATTTTAGGTATGAATTGAAATTTTAGGTTGCGGGAGGAACCGTGTTCGGATATGAATTGAACCTTTAGGATATGAATTCAACCTTTAGGATATGAATTGGACTTTTAGTTTATGAATTGAAATTTTAGATTATAAATTGAATTTTTTTGGATATGAGTTGAACCTTTAGGATATGAATTAAAATTTTGGTTTATGTATTGGAATTTTAGATTGCGGGAGGATTTTGTAGAAGGGGTTGATGACTTTATTAGACATGCAATGGAACTTCCACCAAGAATAACTAAGACACAGTACCTGGCAGAGTGTGCCTTTAATTGTTCTTCTCATTAGCGACAACGATGATGAGAAGGCAAGAACATGCGTTTCAAATAGTTATGGTGTAGGTAGGAGTTTAACATTTCCTAAGTAGATAAAAGAAGATGTAATAGAGGAATTCTATACTTCATTTTCTAAGAGGAAAAGGAGTTTAATTGGGAGTGCCAAGGTTGATGGTGATGGAATATTTTCCGTCGGTCATGGCAGTTCCCATAAAACGGGGATCATAAGACTCTATGATGACAAAGATTATAGGAAATTTTGTTCTCAACTTTCTTCCAAGTCTGATCCGTACAAGCTTAATGGGATATTGGTGATATTTCTTCGGATTCAGCAATGATTTGACTGACAAAAGTACGGAAATGCTAATAAAAAGAATTAAAGGTAAAATGTTTTTCAGCATCCTTCTCTACCAAGAAAAACGTTTTAGCTTTAATTCTTTTGATTAGCATTTCCGTACTTTTGTCAGTCAAATCATTGTCTGAATCCGAAGAAATATCACCAACATCCCATTAAGCTTGTACGGATCAGACTTGGAAGAAAGTTGAGAACAAAACTTCCTATAATCTTTGTCATCATAGAGTCTTATGATCCCCGTTTTATGGGAACTGCCTATGACCGACGGAAAATTCATCACCATCAACCTTGTCACTATCAATTAAACTTCTTTTCTTCTTGGAAAATGAAGTAGGAATTCCTCTATAAATCTTTCTTTTATCTACTTAGAAATGTTAAAATCCTGCCTACACCATCACTATTTGAAACACATGTCATTGCCTTCTCATCATCATTGTCGCTAACGAGAACAACAATTGATCAAAAGACACACCCTGTCGGCTACTGTATTCAAGTTATTCCTGTATCCAAGTTCATCCCGAGGATAATCACCAAAGCCAACCAGACAGCTTTATGATGCCAATGAAGCAAGATCATGAGCTATTCAATGAAACTCGTATTGTAAAGAAGAAGAAAGAGACTGATTCGGAAAGGTGGATCGAGGGTCGAGCCTCGACTATACATGTAAGTTTTTTTACTTTTCCATTAAGTATTTTTATTTACTTTTATATAAATTCTGAATACTAATTTAATATATTTTTCTTATAGGTTCACTTCACAGCTGATGTGGAGGAATTCATACGTAGTCAGCCACCAAATGAGTCGGGCCAACTTTCGGATGAGGATGCTGAAAGAACACTCCTTAAGTACTTTATTATTACTTGAAAATAAGACAATAGAAACCAGTTTTCGAATGGGCTTGTAATAAGTGTTAACTTAGTTTTGTTAGCTTAATGTGTTAGTTCTATTGAACTTTATACTTGGTTTTAATGTTGTTGTTGTTGTGTTGTTGTTGTTGTTGTTGTTGTTGTTGCTTGTAATATGGATTTGGTATGCTGGCAGGTGGTGTAGCTGCCAAAACAGGCAGTTTCTGCCAAAAAATAATACCAGAAAAGCGACCCACTTTGGTCTCTTTTTGGTCGCTTTTCATTTTTAAAAAATATTTCTGGGCCAATAGCAACCAAAGTTGGTCTCTTTTTACCCAGATTTCTAAAAAAGCGACCAACCTTGGTCGCTATTCCATTGAAAAAAATAATTTCTGGAAAAGTAGCGACCAACTTTGGTCGCTTAATTTTAAAAAAAATTTAAAAATTAATAAAATAGCGACCAACCTTGGTCTCTTTTTTCCAGATTTTAAAATATAATATTTGGATTAGAGACCAAAGTTGGTCGCTTTTTTATGATTAATAATAAATAAATAAATAACGTATTTTACATTTAGAGACCAACTTTGGTCGCCAAAATTATATTATTAAAATAATAAAGCGACCAAAGTTGGTCGCTATAGTCAATACCCGGAATATTTGGTCCTTTTACCTTAGAGACCAAAGTTGGTCGCTAATTAGCGACCAGCTTTGGTCCCTAAAATAAAGGGACCAGCAATATAGCGACCGGGCATGTTTGGTCTTTTGGTCGCTTTTAGGCCTATAAGCGATCAACTTTGGTCGCTTTTTGTGGTTGCTTTTTACCGGATTTCTAGTAGTGATATATATAAGATTGCCCAACTCTGCTGAGTTCGCTTGAAATTTTATATGACACACACAACTGGTTGATATGATAAAAAACACTAATCACACACACCTTGCAGTACTAGGTGGTAAACCATATACCAAAGCTTAATGTATTTTAAAGCTTTATGCGCTCTTTAATTCCACTTTCTTCGTCTACTACATATCATTATTAGATTTTTTAAATGGATTAAAAAAGATACGTTCAATCAATCTAGACTTGAGTGCAATTAAAGAGACGATGAGCTCTTGGGGTTGATTTGCATCACTTTAAATACATTCAAGACTCTTGGCAAGCGCACTAAAACACTGAGAAAATTTTCTTCAGAGCATTCCCTAATTTTCTAAGCTTCTATAATTTCTGATGGTGAATATCTTGGAGCTAAATCAAATTTTTATGATTTAGGTGTCTTTGGTGCAAGAAAGAGTTTTGCCTTATGTATTAATACAAAGCATGTTCCAATTTGACCTTTTCTATTAATTAGTGAAAAACTTTATTCAGAGATCGAAAAATAATATTGTATATATGTACTATCAAAATTCATTTTCTTGACATACAATTCCACCGTGTCTTCTTTCTTTGTTGTGTTAACAAAATAAGACTTCATTATTTCTTAGGAATTCATCCTTTTCTTTTTATTTAATAACTCAAACTCAACTTTAATACTACTATTTCAAATTTGTGTACTGAATAAGGGGTCTATGAACAATGTGCGTGTCGAGAAACTAATTGTGTATAAAAGTTGGACATTAACTGTTGAATCTTTTTGCTATGATACATTCCATTTCACAGTAAAATGACCGTTCTTTTGTTGTTTCTTCGTTCTATTTCTTCTTTTTCCCTTAGCTAAACATTATATCAAAATAACTATTATTTAACAATCTAAATTGAAACGAAAAAAGTTGACCCAACCAAAGCATCGATACTCCTACAACTGCGTGCAAATAAAGAAGGAGCACGATCAACGGTTAATGATAGAAGAGAACAACGTAAGGATTTGAAAGCACGAAAAGAAACTAGGGTACTAACATGTGGAGAAAATTTTGAAAAATATATACATAGAAATCCATTGAATATTTTTGGGGATTGGAGTAGGACAAGGTTGCTAAACCATGAGCAACTTCATCCTCTTGTAGAATGCATATGTTGCATACTGTTTACCCTAAAATTCGAGTAACAATTAAACTTGTATTGTGGTTTTAAAGATATGTGATTTAATTGAATACCAGCTGATAAACAAGGAATCAAGTGTATAAATTAAAGAGTAAGGCAAGTCAAACCAGTATGTAAGCAAGTCTCGACTTCGAGCTATGGCAACCTCGAGGTAGGTGAATAAGAACAATAAAATAATAACAATGAGATTCAGATGAGCAGTAAGCAAGAAAGTGATGTATGTATATTCTCTTGTCAATGATTGATGCGTCACAAATGATTGGGCTCCCCTTTATAAAATAGGGGAGTCCTAAATAAGGTACATTTCCATTTGTAGTAGGTAATCTTATTGGACAGCTGTCTAACCGCCTAGTACAAAATCCGTTCTGAAATTTACGTCGTGATCTTAGGGCTACAGCGGGAATCTCGCTTTTTCGGTTATAAAACCATAACGGTATTATCTCGAGGTTAGTCATGCTTGGCCTCAGTGTTCATCGAGCACTTCGATTTTCGAGTCTTGTACTCCGCCATTGGGCTCGAGCCCGGTTCATTTTGAACTTACTCTCGAATCGACCCCTCGAGCCCACGAAATGGGACACACCTGATTTCGACCGTGTACACATACCATTTCAGTCACAGCATGCCTTATCTTGCATCTGATTTTTCCCAGACAGGTGATTCTTAACCAACTATACTGTGTGCATTCGTTCCTAGATGATCTAATCAATTCTATTAGGCACTTACCATATATTTTCTTTGTTCAATGGACACCTTTTGTTTTTATTAAGTCCCCTTTGTCTCAGAAGCAACTTCTATTTCTACATTTCTTTGTTCCTCACTTAGTGGAATTCTCCTTTAGACTCTTGACTCTCCCACTTCAGTCATTTCTTTCCTTTCAGTTACTTCGAAAGTAGTTGCTTCATCTTCAACCTTGTTCATATAAAACTTGACATGTCGGAAGGGCTTACTCCACTAATTGCGAAACTTGTTCTCCCTGCTTTCATGCACTATTCCTCCTCACCAAAAAGGACCGATTGAGAAACTTGAATAAACCCATCAAAATTTTGTGTTTGTGAAAGACAGTGAACTAATGCTTCCCATGATCTAATTCCAGGAACGATGCTTTTGACGACCATTTCGTTAAGCAACTCCATCGCCTCAGAAAACAGACCCCTCTGGCACAGAAGATGCACTAATCCATCAAATGTAATCGACTGAGGAACGAAGCCCCTGCCTACCATTTCACCTAGCACATCACAGGCTTCCTCAACTTCACCCTCTCTAATCATGCAGTTAACTAAAATGTCATATATCAGTGAATTCAGTTGCAAACCCTTTAGTTTCATATTCCCACAAACTTCTTTTGCAGAGGACAACATTCCTCTCCTACACAAATCCTCCAATATAGTATAATAAGTGTTCATTTCAGGTTTACACCCCAGTTCCTCCATACAACCAAGCATTCTTACTGCCTCATCCACTTTATTCTGCTTACACAAACCATTAATATACACATTATAAGTTACAATATCAGGAACTAGACCTAGTACAAGCATTTCATCAAACACTTCATCTGCACTTTCATACTCCCCTTCCAAAAGCAATCCATTCAAAACCAAATTGTAACATACAATATCAGGCACCATTCCACTCATCTTCAACTTACTTAACACCTCCAAAGCTTCAACCCCTTTTCGATTTTTCACATAAAACCTAATCACATTGCATAAATCCACCCTTTTTGGACTGTATCCTAATTCCCTCATTTTATCCAAAACATCCAAAATCTCGACCCCCTCACACTCCTTTTGCGCACACATGGTACATAATATCAAAGAACAAATCTTTCTATCAAGATCAAACCCACTATCCACCATTAAATTCAACAAATCAACAGCATTATTTCCTTTTCCATTTCTACAGAGTGCCCTAATCAAAATCTTGAATGTTGATTCTTCAACCCAAATATTCATAAACTGACTCTTAACCAAAACTAAAAGCACCATTTTGAAATCATATTTATTCTTACAAAGAACCCAAATCAAAGTATTCAAAGATTTCACACTTGGGTTGCATTTAAAAGCTGGCATAGTGAAAAACACCTCAACTGCCAAAGGGGTCATGTTAGAATACCCATAAAACTTAATCAAATAAGTGAATATGTATTCAGGTGTCTCAAAGTTTTCAACTTTATGAATGTGATCAAGAACTTGAGGGATTTGATCCCATGTGGAGGGGTTCTTGGTAAGTGTTCTGAGGATGAAAAAGTAAGCATTTGGAGTTGGTTCACATTTGTAAGCAGCAAAAGAATCAATAAGAACTGATAAAAGATTAGTTTTTTTAGGGGATTTATGAGTTGATTCTACTAATTTTTGCACGGCTAATTGATGAGTAAAGAATGTTTCTTGCCACTTGGTTTTGTAAGGTGAAAATGGACATTTTCTTTTTTTACGAAGGTAGTAATTGTTAACAGAGGCTTTTGTTCTAGCTGAAAATGAACGTGAAGAAGAGTGTATGATTCTGTGAAGTGAGATTGGTATTCCTCGTACGGATTGTCTCAACATTAACATTTCAGAAGTATGTGATTGCAGAGATCAAAGACTGCTGTGATATTTTAGGGGAGTGGGGATGATAAAGGAAGCCCATAGACTAGGCCCAATGGGATCCCCAGAATAATAGGGAGAAAATTCAAAAATAGTCATATTTACGAGTGATCATTCAAAAATAGCCACAGTTTCAAAAGTCATCGAAATTTAACCACTTTTCATGTAAAGATAAATCTGAACGAAAACACTGTTCAAAATACGAAAAAATACTCCAGCATCATATACTAGAGTTCCAGTATACTTCTCTGTTGCAGCAAAATAGTGGCTATTTTTCAATGACTTGGCAAACGTTGGCTAATTTTGAATAACCAGTCCGAAAACTGGCTAGACCGTGCTATTTTGACAATAGAGCAAGGCCCGTATCAATAATTCTTATTTTACGTATGGACAATTCCTCAATATCTTGTTCATTCGCAACAAAATATTTTCTTTGTGCGTCGGTAAAAAAAATATGCTTTTTGGGGGGTTGAGATACTATTTCACCAATTGAGTCACAGGTATCTAACATATTCATACCTAATGATTTTTCACAAAGTGGTGACGAAACGTATAACTTGTACAAATCTTTCCATTTTCCAAGTCGAGCCGATCCATTCGTTCGTAGAGTTATTTACTCGATCGCAGACATTTCTGGAACACCTTTAACAGAGGGGCAAATAGTCAATTTTGAAAGAACTTATTGTCAACCTCTTTCAGATATGAATCTATCTAATTCAGAAGGGAAGAACTTGCATCAGTATCTCAATTTCAATTCAAACATGTGTTTGATTCACACTCCATGTTCTGAGAAAGATTTATCATCCGAAAAGAGGAAAAAACGGAGTCTTGTCTAAAGAAATGCGTTGAGAAAGGGCAGATGTATATAACCTTTCAACGAGATAGTGTTTTTTCAACTCTCTCAAAATGGAATCTATTCCAAACATATTTCCATGGTTCCTTACTTCGACAGGGTACAAATATCTAAATTTGATATTTTTAGATACTTTTTCAGACCTATTGCCAATACTAAGTAGCAGTCAAAATTTTGTATCCATTTTTCATGATATTATGCATGGAACTGAGTCTACGACAATTTAAGAAGAGATTTTATTTTTTATTTCTTTACATATACTCCTTTTATTCTTTATTTATTTTATTGAATTACAAGGAGCTTGGGGCCTGCTTTGCCCTGGGTTACAAAAAGAAGATGTAGGTAAGTTGTTAGATTGATTCATATCAGAGTCCATGCTATTACATCAGTGGATGGTGTTGATATCCAATTTTTACCTATATTATTTTCAAAAATGCATGTATATCTTCAAAAGAATGCATGTGCATCAATCAATATTTTTCCATAATTTTTGCATTTTAAAGGATTTTCAATTAATTTATCCTAGCATTTTTATCATATAAATAATTACTAATTGCATCACAAAGGGTTTTATAACAATTTTATTTCTCAATTTTATTTCTTAATTTTTATCATTTATATTTATATTAAGCTTTAATTATCTTATGCATAACCCTATTTACATCTGTAGGCTATAATAGCAATAACTTTGCAATAATAGCACATATGTGCATATTTACTTTATTTTACACGAAAATGACCTTTTATATTTTTATAATACTATGTAATTATTTTAAATCATTTGTAAACATCAATAGCATTTTTATCATTTATTAGCTATTTTTATAAATTATTTTATCAAATTAATTGGTTATTTAACAAATAGTCTCTTTTAATTTGACTTAATTTCGCACCTAGCCCAAATTATTACCCCAGCCCAATTAAATCATAAGCCTGATCAAATACCCAATAACCCAATCTTTAAACACGCCTAACCTCAGATCAAATCCTGGCCGTTGAACTTAGAGATCAACAGTCTAGGATGTTATTACCATTTTTAATTACTCATAACCCCCCAAACCCTATTCATTTTCCCAATTCCGCCGTCCTTAAATCCCCTTTTCCTCTTTTCTCTCTCAACCTCTCCCTAACCCTAGCCGCCGTCACCTGAACCCCCTTCAATTGATGGGGTTTCTCTTCGATCTTAGGCCCTATCCGGCCTCTTATCTCTACTGATTGTTCGATTTCTTTGTTGTTTGATGGAATCTCAAGGGGATTTGAACATGCTTGGTTCAAATCCCTCAATCTTCTGATGAATCCGTCTGTATTCACCATTTATTTGTGAGTATTATCATTTTTGCATTTTCGTGACTTCAAATCTCCGGTCTAAAACTCGATTTTTACACCATTGTTTATTTTTGCACAAACCTAACTATTTTTGGCCAAATAGGTTTAGATCTCTTCAGATCTGAAGTGTCTGGAGTTTATTTAATCTTTTTCCTTTAAGATTATTTCGTGTTTACCGCTATTATCTACCAATTTCATTTTTCCCTAAGAACTAGGGTTTCATCTTTTAAGTTTCTGCAAATATTTTAAAATGCTTAAAGGTTCAACTTTGGCCTTTCTTCTTTACTGTTCGACTAATTTCTTTGCTTGATGTTTCATCTCTGTGTTCCTGTCGCGCCCCCTTTTTTTCCTCCTCGCGTCGGGAGAATCGGGTTTATGACATTTAGGTATGGGACAACTCGTTCCTTTTGGGAACTGGGTTTTGCATTTTTGAAGAGTCGCCACCTAATGATTTATGGTGCATTAGGAAACCTATAAGGTTCGATTACAACTACATTTTGATAACCAGAGATTGGGTAAGGGCTTGAAATTATCCCAAAGGGAAGGTGTTAGACACCCCTCAGGATCCACTAGTATGGTTCCCGGCCAGACAATTCTTTGTGAATTTGGTGCAATTACCATGTAAGCAGATAAGGCTCAAATAAGAGGGGATTTTAATACACAAATGCTTGAAAATAAACAAGGTGTGAAAGAGCAATTATTAAAAGGCTAATTTTTGAAAAGAAGTCATAGTACTTTAAAAGCAAAGAAAGAGTGGGGAATCCTAGGTTTATTTATAATATGGATCACATCAATGCAAATACCCGGTAATCACTCCTCAAAGAGGGGCTACACGTGGTATTAGCGCACCGGTCATCATATCCATATCTACCCTTCCCACCCTGTTAAGGTACTAAAGCGCGGATTCGTCTCGACCACTATTGCATGCTATTACCCGTCCCATTCCTATCAGTCCCGGAGGCACCTAGGACTACTATTCCTAAAAGGGAGGGATATTAGGCTGACTCGGGGTTTTAAAGGTGAAAAATCTAAGGCGACATACAAAACAAATAGGACCGTACATTAAAAGGGGAAGCACGTAAACACTGAAGGCTCATATATACCTCATCAAACAAAGCAATCAAACATGACTCAAACAACAAGTAGGGTCTGAAAATATTTAATGCAAAAATGGAGCTTAAGTTGTTGAAGCAGACCAATTTATTACATAACTCAGATAAGAAGTCCGAATCAGGCTTGCCTGCTGGTTGTAGCAAATATTAATTATCAGAAACGAGCTCAGTTTTATTTACTATTATTACCTAAGGTTTACCTAAGTGTTTGGGACAGAATCCTATGAACATGGTTTCTATTACTGATTCAGAATGCGGCGAAGGAGTGACAAACTTAAAAATGAGCGGTTTGAAATCCTATAGGCATGCTTGCTAAACCGTGTTAAATAGGGGATTAAATTATAAAAACTGGTTCGGGATAGACTGATTTTAAGTTAGACTAGTCTCAGATCCTGCAGATGATGCCATCCATTATTGCTGGTTTTAACTCTTATAGACATGATATCTAGTGTTGCTGATTTTAATTCCTATAGACATGAAATCTAGTATTATACTGATTTTAACCTTATAAACATGATACTCATTTATAGCCATTTAGATCCTAGAGCATGATGTCTATGTGGTAAAAAAACGTGCAGAATAAAATCCTATAGGAAGGTTATCTAGGTGTGAAGTTGAACATGCAGAATTTTAAATGAACCCCTATGGGCATGGTATCTAAAATGCAGAATCGAACATGCAGGATGTAAAACATTCCTATAGGCATGCCTTCTAAATGCATAATTGAATCATTCAAAACACAAATCCTATAAACATGTTTTCTACCCTTGAGCATGCATAATTACCCATCCCTTTTTCACTAGCCAACCCCAGATGTTCATTACAAATTATTACAGACCAGTTGCTGAATTGCATCATGAAAAATACATAAAAAGGGAAATTACAACCATAGGAAGCCTGATTCTGACTTCCTCTTTGAGTTATGGAACAAAATGCCTCAAATACCACTTGTTTCAAAGCCTTTCTCGGACTTGGGTGTGTCAGAGTTCCCTAATGGTCTCAAGGAATCCCGGGCAGTGCTTACAACCAGGTTCAATAGAACCAGATAAAGATTAGTGCAGTGTGGAAGGGCCAGCCCTTATGTGTCCAAGTTCAGAGGGAGCTCAAGGGTT